TCCCTACATATTCATACTTCAATAAATAAGTTTAAGTTTTTAAAAATCTCTAGCATCTGGCCCCTCATTTCCTCTCCATTCCTACAGCCCTGCCCTGGGTGAGGCCACAACCTCTTCTCTCTCTTTCTCTTTCTCTCTCTCTTTGTCTCAGGACCACAGCTCCATCCCCTCCCTCTTCCTGAATTGCGGAACACATCATGAATTCTGCTAAAAACTGCTCAAGATTCTCCCCAGGCCTCCACCTTCAATAGGACAGGCCCCAAACCCCAGTATGGCCCTGCTGATAGACCCCTGATCCTCTTGCTTGTCTCTCCCCACCCCGCACAAAGCCCCGGAGCTCACAGCCCCTGCCCATCTTGTGTGCTGGATTAAGGGGAGAGCTGGCCTTCAGGCATAGCCCAGGGCCTCAACTTAAAAGTGGCCTCACAGAAACAGAAAGAACCCTCAGGGAGAGCTCCTGGGAGCTGGGAGGCCCCCTGGGAGACTACCCTCGGCCCCTGGATGGCCTGTGGTTGGCCCTGGCTGTGCTGCTGCCTGAATCCTACATCACCAAGAGGTCAAGGGCTTGGGGCAGGCTGTGATTGGCCCCAGGACAGTGAAGTGGACAGGAGAGTTTCAGGTGCCTCTGCTTTGCAGAACTCTGCTTTTACCACCTTTTACTTATTTATCTTGATACTTCTAGGCAAATCTCTGAATTGTGAAAGGAGTCTTCATTTCCCCACAGCACGATGGGGTTGCCCAGGCAACTGCCCTTTATATGCTCCCTGTCCTTTATAGAAACTTCTAGGGACAAAGGAGAGAATGCCTGGGGAGAGGCTTTGGAACTGTGCAGTGTTAGGCTGTCCCATTATTTTATAATGAGTGAAATGCACCCTGACAGCAAGTGGAGCTCCAGACTTGGAAGGTGGCATGGTCTACCTAGGGGCTGGGCTCTGCTCCATGGTCCAGGCGTAGCAGGATCAGTGCTGGGGCCTGTGACCCAGCCTTCCTCCTTGCTTCCACTGGTTCTCCTGGGTGCTCCCCACATCAACTCAGTGTGCCCCAAACACAGGTTTCTTCTCCCAGGAAAGGCAATAGCTTCCCATGAGGAGTGGGCTGGTCAAACAGTCCTTGGTCTCTCTGGCTCCCAACACATAGGTGACATCCCAATCCTGCTGCTAAAGCCTCACAAGCTGGGCAGAGTCTTTTTTTTCCAGTAGAGAAAGTGCCCATAAATTGATCACACTGCGAAGAGTAAGGAGTAAGTAAAAGTGGACCAGCTCATAGCATGGGACGTGGGAAAGGAGTGGGCAGTGGACAGACAATATGGTGGATAGACCAGGCAGTAGACAGGTCCATGCAGTGGAGAGGGGAAAGCCCTGCGCACTGGGGCGAGCCCTTCACAAAGGCTGAAAGCACAAGCTCTGCAGCTAAACTGCCTGGGTCCAATTCCCAGCTTGAACACCACCGACCATGAGATCCTGGATAAGCCGAAGTTCCCCTTGTGACAGCTTTCTGTTGGCAAGCTGGGGATAAGAGCAGGGCCCACATCACAGGTTGTGGTGGAAACAATATGAAATAATGCATTGTGCTTGGCACCACAGTTAGCTGTTAATATTTTTCTGGGGTCACATAGAGTAGAGGTGAATCCTGGCTCTGCCACAAGCTGCTGATCCTGGCTAGTTACTGACCCTTGGTCTCCTCATCTTTTTCATGAGGAAAACCAGACAGTGTAGAATGGCCTGGAGGCAACACATGGAAAGAGCCTGCTGCTGTCAGCACGCACTAAATAGTAACAATGAGGGTTCTGCTGGAATTGCTCTGACAGAAGCAGGTAAAAGGAGTTAAGAAGACGGAGTTGCCCTTTCTCTCCTCCTCAGGTGGATGGGGAACTCTGTCTCAATGTCCCTTTCCACAAAACTGGGGAGCCTCACGGCTGTCTCACAGAGCTGGGAAACCCAGAGAGAGACACTTGCCATGTGCTCGTCAATGCGCCGGGAGTCCAGGTACACGAGGTCAGGAAGGTAGGCCCAGATGAACATCCTGTAATCCTCTGTCTCAGCCATGGGGTTCCCAGAGAGGCCGAGTGACCGCAAGTCCTTGAACCGCCGCAGGTAGATGATCTGGGGAGGAGAGGGGAGAAGACCCATTTTCTTGGCTGCTGCAGAGCTGAAAACACCCCTAGAAGTCTCCATCTCTGGTACTCTGTCAGAATTTGCAGTCTGGCCACAGAGCCTTCAGCACTGTCTGGAGTGACAGGAGAGGAGGGCTTGGGGGTTTTAGGCTGGATGACTGTACTGAGGCCTTAGGTAAGGCCTGGGCTTTCCAAAGAATCAGCAGACCTGGGTTCAAATGCTAGCTGTGGGACAAGTTACCCATTATATATGAGCTTCGATTTCCTCACCTGTAAAATGGGTATAGAGATGTTATGTGTGTTGTAAGGGCTAAACGAATGAGCTATGAAATGCATGTAGGAGAGTGCCTGATACCTACTCAATAGATAGTGGTAGTTGTTGTTATCGTATTTATTAGTCACTCAGAATAGGTGTGCTTTTAGATTGTAAAGCCCTGTGAAAGGTCCAAATCTCTTAAATTAAATGGAAACCACTTTATAATTAACCTTGAATTAACTGAATAACTGCTAGTGGAAAATTAACTGCTATTTTTTATACTCTATTTTTAATAATAATTATATAATTTTCAGGTGTACGTTATCATTTGACATCTGTATATTCTATTGTGTGTTTACCACCTAAAGTCCAGTTTCCTTCAGCTACCATATATTTTATCCCCTTTACCCACTTCACCCTCTCCGAATCCCCCTATATTTGACCCCCTTTACCCTGTCTACCTCTTCCCTCCTCCCCCACCTCCTACCCTCTGGTAACCACTAGTCCATTGTCCATGTCTCTGAGTTTCTGTTTGTCCTGTTCATTTGTTGCTTTTAGGTTTATATTCCACATATAAGTAATATGTGATTTTCAACTTTTTCAGTCTGGCTTATTTTGCTTAGCATGATTATCTCGAGGTCCATCCAGGTGGTCACAAATGGCAGTATTTCATCTCTTCTTATGGCTGAGTACATAATATTTTCATTTTTCAATTATAGTTGGCATACATTATATTAGTTTCAGTTGTACAGCATAGTGATTAGATTTATATAACTCACAAAGTGATCCCCCCAATAAATGTAGTATCCCTCTGCCCCATACAAATTTATTACAATATTATTGACTATATTCCTTGTGCTATTCTTTATATCTCTATGACTATTTTGTAACTACTCATTCATTCTTAATCCCATTGCCCTTTTTCACTGACCCCCCAACTCCTCTCCCATCTGGTAACCCTCAAAATATTCTCTATACCTATGAGTTTGTTTCCGCTTTTTTGTTGTTATTATCGTTTATTTTGTTCTTTAGAGTCCACATGTACGTGAAATCATATGACATTTATCTTTTTCTGACTGACTCCATTTAGCACAATACCCTCTAGGTCCATCATGCAATATCTTTCTCCATCCCTTTAGTCTGTGTGTATCTTTTAATCTGAAGTGAGTCTCCTATATAAAGGTCTTGTGTTCTCATCCATTCAGCCACCCTATCTTTTGACTGGAGCATTTAATTCTTTTTCATTTGAAGTACTTGTTGATAGATATATAGTTATTGCCTTTCTTTATTCATACTTTTGCTACATATTTTTTTTCTTCTCCTTAAAGAAGTCCCTCCAACATTTCCTGTAATACTGGCTTGGAGGTGATGAACTCCTTTGGCTTTTTCTTCTCTGGGAAGCTCTTTATCTGTTCTTTGACTCCAAATGATAGCTTTGCTGGATAAAATGTTCTTCGTTGTAGATCCTGGGTTTTCATCACATTGAATATTTTGTGCCAAGCCCTTCTGTCTTACAAAGTTTCTTTTGAGAAATCAACTGCTAGTCTTATGGGAGCTCCCTTGCAAGTAACTAACTACTTTTCTCTTGTTGCTTTTAAGATTCTCTCTTTGTATATAACCTTTGGCATTTTAATTATGACGTGTCTTGTTGTGTGCCTCTTTGGAACTCTCTGAGCTTCCTGGGGTTGTATATCTATTTCCTTCACCAAGTGAGGGAAGTTTTCTATCATTTTTTTCAACAGGGTTTTCACTTCTTGCTCTCTGTCTTCTTCTGGTACCCCTATGATGCGAATGTTGGTATGCTTTATGTTGTCCCATAAGCTCTTTAAATTATCTTCATTTTTTTAAATTCTTTTTTCTTGTTGCTGTTCTAATTGAGTGTCCTCTGCTACCCCATCTTTTATATCAGTGGTTCAAATCTCTGCTTCATCCACTCTGTTGATTCTAATATACTCTTCACCTCAGATAACATATTTTTCATTTCTGACTGGTTCCCTCGTATAATTTTATAATTCATTTCCATTTTTATGTTTTTTATCTCTGTTAAAATTCTCACTGAGTTCATCTACTCTTCCCCTAAGTTCATTGAGCATCCTTATAAGCAATGTTTTGAACTCTGCATCTGTTACAGATGGCTTGACTTCACTTTGTTTATATCTTTTTCTGGAGCTCTGTTCTGTTCTTTCATGTGGGACATGCTTCTTTTGTCTCCCCATTTTTGCTACCTTTTTGTGTCTGTTTCTACATACTAGGTAAAGCTTCTAAGTCTCTCGATTTTAGCAGAATGGCTTTGTGTAGTACAAGTCCTGTGGGGCCCAGTGGCCCCCTGAGAGTGGGTCCAGCTGCAGGCCAAGTTTATACCTAGCCTGTGCCCCTCCTGGCCCACCTAGTATGTGTCAGCAAGCAATCCACAGATGGCTGCCACCCATGCTGTGCTTATAGTTGACTCAAGAAGCCACATGAGAAACCGAGGCCAGCTGCCGCCAGTGCAGGGCATGGAGGTGTCTTATACTCTATCTTTATTAAAATAGGGAAAAATGTCAACCAGATAGCTAATATAGACATACCTCATTTTATTGCACTTTACTTTATTGCACTTTGCAGATAATGCATTTTTCACAAATTGAAGGTTTGTGGCAACCCTTCATCAAGCAAATCTATCAGTACCATTTTTTCAACAGCATTTGCTCACTTCATGTCTCTGTAACACATTTCGGTGATTCTCACAATATTTCAAACATTATTACTATTATTATATTTGTTATGGTGATCTTTGATCAGGGATGTTACTATTGTAACTGCTTTGGGGTGCTACAAATTGCATCCATATAAGATGGCAAACTTAATCAATAAATATTGTGTGTGTTCTGACTGCTCCACTGACTGGCTTTTCACCTCTCCAGGCCTCCTAATTCCCTGAGACACAACAATATTGAAATTAGGCCAATTAATAACCCTACAATGGCCTCTAAGGGTTCAAGTAATAGGAAGAGTCATGTATCTCTCACTATAAATGAAAAGCTAGAAATGATTGAGCTTGGTGAGGAAGGCATCTTGAAGCCAAGATAGGCCAAAAGCTTGGCCTCTTGCGCCAGGCAGTTAGCCAAGTTGTAAATGCAAAGGAAAAGTTCTCAATGGAAATTAAAGTGCTACTCCAGTGAACATAAAAATGATAAGAAAGTGAAACAGCTTCATTGCTGATGTGGAGAAGGTTTTAGTGGCCTGGATAGAAGATCAAATCAGCCACAACATTCCCTTAAGCCAAAGCCTAATCCAGAGCAAGGCCCTAACTCTTCAATTCTGTGAAGGCTGAGAGAGGTGAGGAAGCTGCAGAAGAAAGACTGAAAGCTAATAGAGGTTGGTTCATGAGGTTTAAGGAAAGAGCTGTGTCCTTAACATAAAAGTACAAGTGAAGCAGCAAGTGCTGATGCAGAAGTTGCAGCAAGTTATCCAGAAGATCTAGCTAAGATAATTAATGAAGGTGGCTACACTAAACAACATATTTTCAATGTAGACAAAACAGCCTTATGTTCGAAGAAGATGCCATCTAGCACTTTCATAGCCAGAGAGAAGTCAATGCCTGGTTTCAAAGCTTCAAAGGACAGGCTGACTCTCTTGTTAAAGTCTAATGCAGCTGCTCACTTTTAGTTGAAGCCAGTGCTCATTTACCACTCCGAAAATCCTCGAGCCCTTAAGAATTATGCTAAATCTACTCTGCCTGTGCTCTGTAGATGGAACAACAAAGCCTGGATGACAGCACATCCGTTTACAACATAGTTTTCTGAATATTTTAAGCTCACTGTTGAGACCTACTGCTTGGAAAAAAAGACTCCTTTCAAAATATTACTGCTCACTGACAATGCACCTGGTCACCCAAAAGCTCTGATGGAGAAGTACAAGATTAATGTTGTTTTAATGCTTGCCAACAGAACATTCCACCCATAGTTAAGGAGTAAATCTTATTAGTCAAGTCTTATTAGTTAAGGAATACATTTTGTAAGGCTATATCTGCCATAGACAGTGATTTCTCTGATGGATTTGGGAAAAGTAAATTGAAAACCTCTGGAAATGACTGACCATATTAGATACCATTAAGAACATTTTATGTATCATGGGAAAGGTCAAAATATCAACATTAACAAGAGTTTGGAAGAAGCTGACTCCAGCTCTCATGCATGACTTTAAGGAGTTCAAAACTTCCATAGAGGAAATAACTGCAGATGTGGTGGAAATAGCAAGAGAACTAGAATTAGAAGTGGAGCCTGTAGATGTGACTGGGTTGCTGCAATCTCATGATAAAACTTGAACATAAAAACTTGTTTTTATGTATTAGCAAAGAAAGTGGTTTCTTGAGATGGAATTTACTCCTGGTGAGGATGCAGTGAAGATTGCTGAAATGACAACAAAGGATTTAGAACATTATGAACTTAGTTGATAAAGCAGCAGCAGAGTTTGGGATGATTGACTTCAGTTTTGGAAAAAGTTCTGCTATGGTTAAAATGCTGTCAAATAACATCGAATGCTACAGAGAAATCATTCATGAAAGGAGAAGTCAATTGATGCAGCAAACTTCATTGTTGTCTTATTTTAAGAAATTGCCCAAACTTCAGCAACCACCATCCTGAGCAGTCGACATCCATCAACATGGAGGCAAGACCCTCCAGTAGCAAAAAGATTACAAGTCACTGAAGGCTCAGATGATGGTTAGCATTTTTGAGCAATGAAGTATTTTTATAGTGAAACTTTTAAGATTAAGTTTATTGGATAACATTGGTTAATAACATTATATAAATTTCAGGTATACAACTTTAAAATACAACATCTACTGTGTGCTCATCACCGGAAGTCGAGAGTGTCCTTCTGTCACCTTGTATTTGACTCACTTTACCATCTTCATCCTCCCCCAACTCCTTTCCCACTGGTAACCACCATTCTGTTTGTTGTCTGTATCTATGAGTTTGTTGCAATAAAATATTTCTTAATTAAAGTATGTATTTTGTTTTTAGACATGCTATTGTACACTTAATAGACTACTGTATAGTGTAAATATAACTTTTATATGTGCTGGGAAACCAAAAAATTCATGTGACTTGCTTTATTGTGATACTGGTTTTATCGAGGTCATCTGGAACCAAACTTGCAACATCTTTGAGGTATGCCTATATTTCATTTGATAGTATCTTCTGAACACCTACACAGTGTCCTATGCAAAAGACAGAAAAGAAACCTAGCATGCTTTTCTGAAGGAATTTTTTTCAGTCATTTATGTATTCATTGGACAAACATTATTAAGCACCTACCAGGCCTCAGGCACATACTGGGCCTTGGGGAGTCAGGGGGAACAAAATCCACACGGTCCTTGCCTTTATTACAGGAGCTTACATTCTAGGGGTACAGGATAAGAATCTTTTTCAAAGTAAATAAAATCATTACTTTTGGGGGTAAGTGCTATAAGAACATAAAGACGGGCCCTAAGAGAAAACAACAGGGAGGCCTTTTTCAATTAGGGAACTCAGAGGTCTCTGAGACCTGAAGGAGCTGGCCATAGAATGCAGAGGAGAGTGCATTCCTAGAAGCAAAAAAAGCACAGGTTAAGACCCTGAGGCAGAAGAGAACTCGCAGTATACCAGGAACAAATCAAGGCCAGGGTAGCTGCAGCTTGGTTTGGGATGGGGCTGGGTGCAAGACTTGAGGCAAGATTAGAAACAAGGTCAGCCAGTCACAAGTTTGGATTTTATTCTAAGGACAATGGAAGCCACTGGAGTTTTAAGTGTATATGGGCCGAGGAGATAGGATGTGATTTAATTTTTAAGAGATCTTCCAGTGAAATTCCATTTTTCATCTTTTAGATTATTTAAGAGAAAATGGTTTGATAACAATGGTGAAAGGAAACAGGCCTTATAATTGCTGGTGGGTTTGTAAAGAATTTCACTTTTATAGATGACGATTTGGCAAGTTCCATCAAAATAGAAAATGTACATGCCCTCAGACCCAACAATTCCACCTCCAGAAATTTACCTTGCCCACAGTCCTCCCCAGGTGCAAAGTAAGCCCTGTTCAAGGACATCCATTATAGCCTGCGTGTAATAATACGAGGTTGGAAACAACCTCAGTGTCTACCTATGGGAGACTAGAAAAATACATCATGCCACATCTAAATGATGGAATGGTCCAGCAGAGGGGGAACTGATGACTTGGAAGGAGAAGGGATGACCGAAGGCAGGCGCTTGGAGGGTAGCCAGACAGATGTTACAATCGTGAAACATTTAAATAAGATGCTTCGAAAGATACATACAACTTAGAAGCAGCTGTGGCCTCTGGAAAGGGAAGTATGGGCTGAGGTCAGGAGTGAGAGGGGATCTTCCCTGTGTGCCCTGAGTTCTGTTGAAACATCTGCTTGTTTTTAATACAATAAACAGGTATTAACATAAGCCTAGTAAATAAATAAATAACAAGAAAGTATATAATTAGATGTCAGATACACAGTGCAGATAAGGGTTAAAATCATAGATACACAGAGTTTGCATCTTATTAAGTCAAGACTCTCTGGTTCAAGTCACCAAGAGGGCTGGTACCTGATTAGGTGAAGAAGATGCAGGGACTCCAGCATCTTTGGCATATGGCCAGTCCTCCAGAACAATGAGATCTAGGCCCAGATATCTCAGTACTCCCTGGCAGCTTCTCCTCAGGTAACTTCTTCTTTCCTATTTCTCTCTGGGAACCAGCTTTACCTGCTTTTCTCCCATATTCAGGAGGGGCCATCTGGCACTCAGCATCCCACTGGGAAAGAGGGATAGAGTTTCCTCCTATCCAGTCCCTGCAAGGGTGGGAGGGGAGAATGCCCAAGGTCAGGGGACAGAGTTGGGTGTCCACAGCAGGGCTGAGGCTTGGACTGCGAGTCAGTATCCACTTCCAAGCCTAGGCCTGGACCTTTGTAAGGGAAAGGGTCTCGGGTCCATTGAAGTCTACAATGCCCAAGGGACAGCAAGTGAGAAGAGATAATTTACTGATAGGCCTGGAGGTATTGGACCTACCAAGGCAGCAACAGCTGCTAAATGCTCAGAAAGGTTTTCAAACAGCAAGATTTAGGGCTGTTTGGGGTAGCCCTGAATCTGAAAATTCCTGAATAACCATCGCTTTCCATGTATCTACTGTGTGCCAGGTCCTGTATTAGCCATCTCATACTCTAATTGATTCAACCCTCACAACAGCTTATGGGAGAGACTACTGTTATTTTCATTTTACAGATGGGCAAATGAGCCCCAGAATGCTAAGTCCCTGGCCCAAGGTCAGATAGTCAGTAGCTAATTAAATCTCAGGTCTTGATTCAGTTCGGGTGGACCCTCCATGTGTTAGCTGTCTCATTGGTCAGCATTTGGTTGCCTGGCCTTACAAAGCAAAGGGCAGGCTGAGTAATCAGGACTTGAACCCTGAAAAGAGCAGTGGTTGGGTTTATATCCTCCTGTCTGGTATGCAGGGCAAACTGCCTAGACTACATAGCCTCTCGGGTTTGGCCCCGCTGGACAGACTTAAATGCAGGTAAGAAGTTGGTGCTTGACCTACTCCAGACCATTCATCTAAGCCACCCAGCCTGGCCATCCCTCAGCTCTGATATTGATCGAAGGTGGGTATAATCTCTGATCATAATGAAGGGTCACTGTTGGGGGAGATATCTTATGCTCGAGGAAGCCTGTGGCCTTGACTTTTGACTACACCACGAAAAGAATCAACCCAGGGAGATGCTGAGGACAGTAGATCCAAGAGGAAGAGGAACTTGTGTCCTTGAAGCCCTGATGACAAGCCTGCCCTTCTTTGAAGCACCAGTAATCTTGGTGCTAAATATCCCTGTTTGTTTGTGGTAGGCACTTGGCATACCTGTGGCCTCAGCTGCAGCTGTGCTGGACTCCTGCTGATAGTGCCCATCTCATCCCTGCTCTCTGCTTCAGATTTCTGAGGCCCACCCAGAAGCAAAGGCAGGAGGTAGTTAATAGCCAGGGCATCCCTCAGCTGCTGGTCCTTCAGGTGTTCAATTCTGGGAGGCATTCTGGACACTCCTGAGGGCCCAGCAGAATGGAGCCCCCATCACCTACAGCAGCAATCTCAGTAACACATCTGCACATTGGTTCTTCCTGCCCTCTGGCTTCCTGAGATCACCTGCCCAACACAGCTCCACACCCAAGTCCTTGCCTCAGTGACGCTTTCAGCCCACCTGTTCTGCAGGTGAAGGGCACCATCCTTGTTTCACCCACTCACACGATCCCCCTCAAGTCCCTCCTTATGGTAGCAGGGTTTCCTTCTAAAAGACAGTATTGCCTTGGACACACCACAGGAAAAAAGCATCCATATCTCCCCTCTGCTGTTCTGGTTGCCACTCTGTACCACACCCCCTGACCTCTTCCAGTGACCCTGGGCTCCTCGAGGAGGATGTTCACTCCTAGAACAATGAGGTCTGGGCTCAGATACCTTAGTACTCCCTGTAAGCTTTTCCCCAGGCACCTTCTTCCTTCCTCTTTCTCTCTGGGGTTGTCCCATCCCAAGCATACATCTTGGCCTTTGCTCACACCATTCCTTCCTCCCAGGAAGCCTTTCCTTCTGCTCAATGGTAAAATTCCAATCGCCCCTTAATGAGTCTGATTCAAAAGTCACCTCACCTCTCCTGAAACTCTCTCAGGAAGGATCTCAGCTATGACCGTCCTCTCTTTGTTAAGAACATACTCCGGCCTGACACTGAATGAAATGCCTCATGCTTATCACCTCACTTCATTCCTAGCAGGCAGGTTTTGGGCAATATCTTCCTTTTACAAAAGAGAAAACAGGTGTAGAAGACTCGAGCCTTAGAGCATCCAGATGGGATTTGGACCCAGGCCATCTGACTGACCTAAGTAGAATTTGAAAGGATATTGGACAGCTCCCAGGATTGACCGAAGGCTAGAGAAGCGGGTCCCAGCCACAGTCCTACCCCAGGAGCAGTCTGGTAATGTCACCTCTGACACAGGACCCTTATGAATGCTGCCACACCCCAACCACTGGGGTCTCAACCCCAGCTTGCTGCTGTGAACTTGTTGTAAGGGGCCAAGGGGCAGCCCACCTTCCCCCAAATGACCAATGACTCATGCTCTCTCACAGATACACACCTCTGGCACCTCGGGGGCAAATACTGACTTCTTGTCACCTTGTGTGTCTTGATTATGTGGGTGTGTGTGTTGGGCACCCCCGAATGGACTGTACTTCTGGGTCCCTGTACTCACTGAGCACAGGCCAAATGACCCATATCCAATAAGTCCTCACCTCAGCAAAAGTTTCTTAAGTGTGTGTGGGGCTTGGGGAAAGAAAGACCCCACCAAGGCAGGGCACAAAGTGGTATCTACAGATGGACTTTCATGGATTAAGCATGTTGTTTAAACATTATCAGATTTCTTGTAGAATAATCTAGATTTCTAGCTTTTCTAGGAAAAAGAGAAGATCTGGAAGGCAGAGCCTGCATTTTCCCTTGCCACAGACCCCCATCCCCCAGCTCCTACCCCAACCTACAGCTCTTGGCCCATGCTCTGCTCAGACCTTGAACTCACATTCATCATGTTGCTGATCTGGTTGTTGCCCAGTGACAGCACCTGCAGCTTGACCAGGGCATCCAGAGAGTCGATCTTGGAGATCCGGTTGTTGAATAAGCTCAAGTCCTCCAGGTTTACCAATGTGTCCAGCCCCTCAATGGCCTCGATGTTGTTGAAGGATAGGTCTGGAAGGAAGATGGCCATGAGGCTTGAGTGACAGGTTAGGGGGTGCACTATCCTGAAACAAAACCATCAGGGCTACTCATGCTCTGTGAGCCAGCACCAAGCTGTCGAGTAGGAACCAACTCACTGTCTGACAGCTTATGGTTTTCTAGAAGCCATGCGTGGATTCCTTCCTACGGCCTCAAACTTTCATTGCCCTCTCCAGTTCTGCCACTCATCTTTCTGGCTGTGGACACATGGGCAAATATGTCCATGCTATCGTTGTTTTGAGATGGAAATGCTTATTGGTAGGTCCAAAGCAGTGCATCTTAGGGTGGGGAGACAGTTGTAGAGTGTTCTTTTCCTTCATTCCTTCAAGTGTTTTAGTAATAATACCTACTGTATGCTTACCATTTACCAGTTTATCAAGTGCTTGTGTGTATATCCCCAGACAATGGCCTTAAGTAGCAGTTTGGAATTTCTCTCCCCATTTATTCAATTGGGAAGCTGAAGCTCAGAAAGGATTAAAGCCACACAGCTAACTATAGTGGTGCCAGAGCTCATCCAGCACTCCTCCTTGGACAGGTGGCAGGCCAGGTTCTTCATGCTCCATCACAGCTGACTCAGGCTCCCCCAGCAAGCCCAACCCCAATTGAGATATGAATTGAGATATCTAACCCAAGTTTCACATCTTTGGGAATAAAACTTTGTTGAATTTTCTCCACTACAGGTTTTTGGTTGAGGTTGAGGCTACAACCCTGTCCTGGAACACTAACGACCCAGAGGCCGAAACTGGGAATTTTTCATGAGCTTGGAAATACAATCATGATAGCTGCAAGCTATCTCATTTAAAAGGTGATTTGGAAAGTCAGTTAATTCACATCTTAATTTGGCCTCCTTGGTATATCAGCGAATGCTCACCTGCTGGCAGCTGAGACTATAATGATAATTTACTGTCCTTTTCTCTATGCCTGGCTCTTTAAGTGCATCACCTCATTTAATCCTCAAAGCATAGGTATCACCATCCATATTTAATGGATGAGGAAACTAAGATTCAAAAGGGCCTGGTAGCTATATGCCCAAGATCACACAGCACATAAAGAAACTGAAGTTCAGGGGGCTGAAATAACTTGTACAAAATTGGTTAGTACATGGGCAGAGCAGGGCTATGAACTGGAGTCTCCCAAATGCCAAGTCTGCCCACTTGCTTTCCCACTGTGCGGCCAGGTTCTGTTCTTTGGAGGCCTGGCCACAAGCACTAGAACCAGTGATATGTTGCAAATAAATGTTTTAACAGTAGGAAGTAAAGTGAAGAAAGCTCTGATTTGTAGTGCTTGCTGATTTTGTGGTGTAAACACTCCCACCATAGCCAATTTCAATCTACCAAAAAGACATCGTTGAATGCGAAAGTGGGCTGAGATGTGCGCAATCAGCTTTCCAGAGCCAGTACTAGCCAGCTCTAGCACATCCTCAGTGCTGGGGCAGCTGACTGTGGTGAGCCACCAGCATATGTGTATGTGGTGGGCGGGACTGTGCTGAATCATCATCAGAGAGCACCATCACCCCCCACCCGTGCATCCCAGGGACCCAGCTATTCCTGGCTGTGGTTGGGTTCCTGGACTACCAGTGCTGTGGCTAGACAAAGGCTGGCTTCTGTTTCTATGAGGGTATAGGCTGATCTTTTACCAGAACTTTCCCCTTCTGCTTTCTCACCCCTATACCACAGAACACTGGGTATCACAGGAGCGTCTCACAGGGACCTGTGGAATTTGTTTCATAGTTAAGGGACCTGGTAGCTCTTGCCCAAAAGAACAGCATTCAGATAGCCAGTGCCTGGCAGGCCTTCCAGAGGTGATATGGCTCAGGGTCTGGGCTGACCCAGCACCCTCTTCTCCTTCATTTCCTAGAGAGACAGATGACTCCTGGTGATGCAGTTGTACCACCAAGCCTAGGACTCAGCATAAATAAGTGCTTGGGTGCTGGAAATGGGGCCTGGGATGAGAGACCTAGGCCTAACAGTCAGGAGCTTTGGCTATGGTCTGCCTCTGTTGCTTGTAGCATGTAATTCCATCAAGCCCATCAGCCTCTCAGCCTCAGTTGCTGCATCTGTAAAATGGCAGCATAATCTTACCTGTGGGGTTGCTGTGGGCTGGCAACTGTCAGCACAATCGTAGCTGAGAGTGTTTTGCAATTTGGGAGGTACACCAATGTCCAGGCTTCCCATTATGGGGAAGCAGCCTGACAGGATGGAAGGAACATGGACTTTTGGGTCAAACTGTTGTGGGTTTATATTCCAGCTCTGCTACTTCTTGGTCGTGGAGCTTTGGGCAAGTGCCTTGGCCTCTCAGGGCCTCAGTTCCTCTTCTGTATATTGCGATCGCAACAAACACCTATCTTTTAGGATTGCTGTGAGGGCTAAATGAGGCAAAGTTATAAAGAGCTCTCCAGCTAGTTCTCTCTCCCCGTTAGGTGTCCACCTGTCTCTCACCAGATGTAAAGCTACCTACAGCAGATGGACACAGTTCATCAAGACCCCTGTGGTCTTAGCAGTGAGGGCCAGAGCTCTAAAGTCAGACAGAGCTGTGCTGGAGCCTGGTGCCCCCACTGCTTGCTGTGACCTCATTTTGCTCATGTCTACAATGGGGGAGCTGTATAGGTTAAAAAACCTCATGTGGAAAGCATACCAGCCCATGCTTAACAGGTAGTAAGTACGACTAGCAGCTATGATGATTATTTTTGGTTTTATCTGAGCCTGGCTGACTAGTGGGACCCACGGTTATCCGTCAGCCTGAGTCTAGAGTAACAAGAAGGAATCCAAGGCTGCTCCCTGACCTCCTCCCAAATTGAGAGGTTTGGCAGGTAAAAGCAGAATATTCTGTCCTGGTGGGTCCAAGCACATTTTTACTATGTTTACCCAGCTCAGACCCCGTGCTTTTAAAAAGTGAGGCTTTCTTGCTCCTGGCAGACAGAGGTTCTGCTGTACCTGGGCTAATGGTGGGCCAGCAGCAGCATATTGCCTGAGACAATTAACTTGGCTAGTATTTCCAGGGTGTCACCTTTCATTAGGGTGGACACAAATGGGAAGGGGCCTTACCTAGCCAGACCAGGTGTGTGAGGTTCTCCAGGCCCTCGATCCTCTCAATGATGTTGTTGTCGAGCTGCAGCTTCCTCAAGTTCTCAAACTGCCAAAGGTTGTCAATGCGGAGGATGTCTGAAATCATCAGAAGAGATACTGCAGCTAGTTCCCACCTCAGCTTAGGGTTAGAGTTTAGTACCAGTGTATTGGCGGAATGAGATGACCAGTGCTAACCATACAAAAGGTCTCACAACTCTGCTACCTTGCCCTGGAGCATATGGGTGCCCTGGAAATGTGGGCCAAGAATTGGGGAGCTCTGAGTCCTGGTTAGTGCACAGAGGGCAGTGATCAAGGCCACAGCAGTGCCTAATAGGTCCATAGAGGGTGTAGGGGGCTTGGCGTAAAGGTGGGCTGGATCTGCTCAGGGCACAGGACTCACTCACACTGCCTCTACAGGCAGGCTGGGGGACTGCCAGGCTGGGGGACTGCCAGGGAGGCCAGAACAACTTGGTGTACAGGTTACAAGACACAGACAGGGGTCCTTCTTCTTCCTTCTGCAGTGCAACAAATAGAATCAACACTGCAGGCTGAATTCCTCCTTGTGCATTGTTAGTGGGAGGGTCAATCAACTAGTTCAGCCATTTTGGAGGGCAATTTAGCCATGCTTACTGAAATATATAATGTCTATACACTTTGACCCTGAAGTTTCTCTACCTGGAATCTGTCCGCAAAGACACTTGTGTATGTGCCCAAAGAAATACCTATAGGCACATGAAGGGCAGAAAGATAGGGGGAACCCCAAATGTTCATATATGGAGAGTGGGATGACTCGCCCATACAATAGAGAGGCAGGTTCCACACATCACTAAGGCACCTGACCCTGTGGGTCTCTGAAGACCACCTTTACAGTTACACAACCCACTCAATCCTTTTGCACCTTATACCAGGCAGAGTTTGGTTTCTGTCACTGGCAGCCAGAAGAGTTCTGAAAACACATAAGTATAAATAAGTATATACTGTGTATGTAAAATTCTAGAGGCCTAAACTTGTCCCCAGTTTTTTCTAGAGGCCACAAATAGCTCTGTTGCTTATATGCCCCTTTTCTCTATATTTAATGTTCTCTATATGTAATGATTTCTAAAACTTATAAAATTAGAATATGCTCACTAAAAGACTGAAATAATACTGAAGTGAAAGGGATAAAAAAAAATTACCTGTAATAACTACACATTTGGGGCAGCAGTTTCAATATTCATTCAGAGGGGCAGAGTTTGCCCTGAGGTTGTGAGGCAGAGCACCCCTCCCAGCTGCCCTCATTAAGTCTTGTCTCCATGGGGTAGGTGGACACCATTTCTCTGACCCAGGGTCCTACCTCTCCTGAAGCCCCGGGGCCAGGTGTGACTGGTGTCTATTCCTCAGCACTCTGTGGCCAGATTTCCCAGAATGATACCAGCTACCATCCCTACTTGTCGTTCTGGTACCTTCTCTCTCCCTGGACTTAGACCGACAGCCTTTGGCTATGGCTGACTTCCTGTAGATACCACTTTCTTGGGTGGCTCTCATACTCCTGGGTGCTCTGCTTGGCACACCTGTATGCTGGCTTTCCCTTACACATCAGCGGTTCATGTGGAAAAGCCAATATAACACAACAAAACCAGGATATATTTGGCAGTTAGCTCTTAATGAGTTACCAGCATGACAGGACTGCCTAAAAAGCCAATTTAATCTTCAACATAGACATGGAATCCTTCTCTACTGCCCCCATCTCAGGTTCCAGCCCATCATCATTGCTCCCTGGATCACAGAAGCGGTCATCTCACTAGTCTTCCTGCTCTGGCCCTTGGCCCCTACAGCCTATTCTCCTGCAGCCAGTGGGATCCTGTGAAAACCTAAATCCCATCCTATCCCTCCTTTGCTCAGGACCCTTCTAGGGCTCCCACCTCTCTCACTATACAAGCCAAACACCCTCTCTTAGCCCCCAAAGCTGATGTTAGCTGACCCTATGACCTCTTTGACCTGTTTCCACACAGGTCTCCCACCTCAGGGCCTTTGCACTGGCTATTTCCTCTTCCTTGAATACTCCCTAGATCTCCATATGGCTTCTTTATTTACCTCCTTCTAGTATTTGCTCAATTTTCACCTTCTCGGTGGGGCCTCTGACCACCACCCAATAAAACACTGCTTTCCAACCCCAATTCCGCTTTTCTCCTCTCCTTACTTTCCTCCATAGTATATATTACCTTTAGTGTATTACCTTTAATACGCTATTATTTTCCTTCATTTTTATTTTATTTGTGTCCTTCACTTGAATGTTAGCTCTATGAAGACAGGATTTTTTTTGGTCTTTTTGTTTACAGTTGAATCTCTAGTACCTAGAATAGCACCTGGCATATGACAGGCACTTAATGAATACTAGATGAATGAACCTTAGGTTAGGTAGGGGAAGGAAAAAGAAGGCGGTCAACACTAAAGCCTCTTCTGGCGACAAACATTCTGCAACCCCTTTAAACCTTTTACCACTGAGGGGGCTGAGGTCAGGGGCCCTCATTGCTCTGGGTGACCAACTGGCTCCTACAGAGCTATGACCAGCTCTGGAGGCTGTGCTCTGGGGAGGCCTGTGGGCTTCATGAGGCTGGGCCAGGGCCTTGCCTACTGCTGGGTCCTTCGGGTCTGGCAGAGACTGGCTGAGGCAGGGCCTCAGAATGATGAAGAGGGTAAAGGGGGTCAAATATATAGTGATGGAATGGGACCAGACTTCAGGTACTAAGCATACAACAGAGTATGCAGACGTTGTATTATACAGCTGTACACCTGAAATTTATGTTATTAACCAATGCTACCCCAATAAAATTTAAAAGAAAAAGAAAAAAAAAAAACCCACCAAAAGCAGCCAACAACAATAACAAAAAAAGAATTTCTTGTTGTTGAGAGGAGCCTGGGAGAGAGCAAGAATGTGAATCTGTCCAGGCCATTCTGCTGTGTGTGTAATACATACTGCCTGCACAATGAGGGGTTGCAGGACTCCTGTCTACCTCTCACTTCCTCTCACACCCCTCACTGGCCTTTCTGAGTAAACCAGACACTGTGTACATGTGGTCTTACCTTGTCCTCCCAACCATCACTTGAGACAGGGACTGCAATCCTCCCATTTCACAGACGGGGACACTGAGGCACTGAGGATCTATGTAGCCACATCTTTCCACTAGGCTGTCCTGCCACTCTTGAGGCATCTCCCCACCTCATGGCCCTATGCCCCTCCTGTTCCCTGCCCCTCCTTTGAAGCTGCTCTCCCAGGGCATATCTTCCTCCTCCTCCTCCCCACAGCTTTTGCCTGACTGCTTGGGACCACCCTCTTAGATTCTACCTGCTAGGGGCCTTACTCCAAGAATACCAAGGCCTTTATGGTTCACTTAGATTTGGAGTGGGAGAATTTTATCTTTTTATACAGACTATGAAAAGAATTCTAGGGCAAAGATGTGAAATGGAGAAAGCCAAGAGCCCTGCCTGGTGTCCCTGCTCCACCCTGGAATACTCACTCTGAAAGTCCAGCTGCAGGGAGAGGACATCCTTGAAAAGGATGCCCTCCTGCTTGGCTAGCTGCCCAGCCTCCTCCTGTGGGCCCTGCTCCCCAACAGCCAGCTTGAGCATGTCGTCATCCATCACTCTTGGTTCTAATGAGTTGTACAGCCGGTTCATCATCTCTGAAAAACATTACGTTTTCTACAATCTGCTTTTCCCTTTGTCTGAGGACAGGGGTTGGCTGGCATTCTTTCAGAGCACTGTGACAGCTAAGGACATGCCAACCGCTACCCTCCTCCCACCCCTGGGCCCACTGTACCTAGGGGTTAGTACATTTTTACCAAGGCTGCTCCAGGGCTTCCCTTGGCAACCATCTGTTGTCCTTCATCAGGGATATACCCTTTGGCCCCACAATCATAGCTGTAACCCTACCCCAGACAAGTAAACGAGTGTCCACACTGGTCTCCTGAGCCTTTGGAGTTCAGCTCCCCTTATGGCCATGGCCATTTTGGGTCTTTGGCTTTCTGTGCCCACCTTTGTTCACCAACCACTGATCAAGACCCTTGGCAGCCCCAGCCAGGTATATCAGCCCACAGCTCCTCTTCTCTGAGAGTCTCATCCCTTCCAGGGTGTCATGTCTATACCACCTTCCACACACAGACACATGTACACCACAAGCTGCTCAGTGTGTAGGTGGATACCGATCCAAGCTGATCATTCATGTTCTCCCTCTAAGAAATGTGAGCTTGGTGCTGCATGATGAGAGTGCCCATCAGAGTTGGCTGCTTGAGCTGGAGAGGAACTGAGGGGCTGTGGGCTGGTCAGGCACATGGTTAAACAGAGAGAGCCAGAGGGGGATGAGGCAGATGGACAGAGAGAAGCAGAGATAGGAACCTGGGTGATCCAGGAAAAAAGAGACAAAAGGAAAGACAAACTGATACACAGAGGCTGCCTTCTTCCTGGCTTTCTGGTCCTAATGTCCCTAACTTCAGGCCCTGTTAGGGTTTCTGTGGTCCCTTTCTATGAGAGTTTCCTGATTTCTCACATTAAATCCTCTTGTACTTTAACTCCAGTAGATTTTTGTTGCTAATGGTCCAAAGGGATTTGGCAGAAATACTGCAGGCAAAGGGGGTTGCTGTGGATTTGGTCAGTCATACTACAAGGCTGACCCTGGGATGTAATTCCTGGCTGGAAAGAGCCACATCCCTGGGAAGCTAGGGCACCCAACTTCATTCTCATTACCAATCTTCTTAGTGAGAACATTCAGAAGGGCTGGACCTGCAGGAAGGCACACTCTCCTGTTAGTCTACTGGAAACTCCCAGATTTTGCCTCCTGAATCCTCTGAAGACTCCTACTTTCCACCCCTGATTCTCACCTCCCTGCTGGCTTCATCATCTACCTTTGCCTGCATGTGTCTGCAATATCTGGGCCTTTCCTGAACCTCCTGTCCTCCCTGCCCTGCTAGTCCTTGATGGTAGGCAACCCCTGTGCTCTGCACTTTGTCCACTGAGCACTGCTTGGGAAGATTCCTGGTGATGGGCTGATTGTATCTACCACAAACCTCCATAGACGTGGCAAGCCTGCCACCTGGCCTTAGAGACTGCCCCTGCCCAGCTGCCCTCCCTCCCTCCTCCCCCACCATCCACTTGAATGTAGCTCATACAAATATGCATCTTCCAATTCTGGATTGTGCACAATCAAATGTCCCAGTGCTTTTAACCCTCATACATCCTTTCTTTCTGTCCCCAGAGAAGGCACAGACTTCCCTAATCCCAACCCCATCCCCTACAACCCTACTCCCAGCCCTATGTCCACCTACACCTTTCACCTTCCCATTCTCTCCAATCTGTCAACACTGGCTCCATCTCTCTAGGGTAACTGATTGACCATGCCCCTCCTCCCCTAATGTTTCCAGTCCTCTGCCTCTTTCCATCTCCCCATTCTTCTGAAATTAATTTTTCTAAAATTTCCCATAATTTGACACCAAGTTGCTTTTGGGGGAATTTTAATATGCTGTATTTGGCAGATGTTACCCACAATGTTTGTGCTTTTTCAAAGAAAGGTGCTATACTTTGGGAAATGATTCTTAATTCTGATTCCAAACTTTGATTTCACATTCCTCGCATGTCATCAAGGCCTGGCACCTATGACAGATCAAGTTTGCTTTCAGTCAAGCCCAACAATCGCTGCAGTGTGGAATAGCTGTCATGCATGCAAGGGCAGGATTTGGATCCTGACTCTGCATCATGTGACAACTTTCCTCACCTAAGTCTTGGATTTCCCATCTATAAAAGATAAATAATTCCTCTCTTACATTTGTTAAGATCATTTATTTAGTCCACACACATGTAACAGCTACTACATGTTGTGACTACAATAGACAGATCTCCTTACCTGTTTCAGACATGAATCAGATAATCATATAAATATTTAATTACAAACCATGACAAGTTTTAAGGAACTATGAGCACACATTAGGGGCACCTGGCCTGGCCAGGAGAGACAGGGCTGAGATTTGAAGGACAAGTAAGAAAGAAGAGGCAACTGTGCAGTGAGGACCCTCGGGTGGAAGAGAACAAGACATGTTCCACTTTGGTGACGTGATACAGGTTGGAGAGGCCTACGGGAAGTTCTATTATTATCCTAGGATCTCTGGGAAACTCCTGGAGCTTAAGAACAGCAGTGACATGATCAGATTTTAATTTGAAGATGCTCACGCTGGCTGTACTACTGAAAATGGCAAGAGTCATGAGGCAAGAGATGATCAAGACGGTAGTAAGATGTGGATTTGAGAGATCTTTAGGAACTTCATATGTAGGACTAGTCATCTGCAGTTTTCAGATAAGAAAATGAAAGCTAGTTAGAAAGGTTAAGTAATATGACCAAGTTTATACATTTGGTATATGGTAAAGCAGGAGAACATGACTCCAGAGCCATTTTCTTAATCATGGCTCAGCTGTGCCTAGGGCACTGTAAACAATCATTGTCATAGCTCATGATGTTTCTCACAGCTGTTCTGGGTCAGGGCCAAGGGTTGAACAATCCTCCCTAAAAGGATTTTATCAGTAATTTACCACCCAACCTGGGTTCCTGTTGACTTGCCTGATGATAGTTTTGTTGGCGAAGACCACTGGCAGGAGTTGGAGAATACACCACTGTCCACAGAATAGCCTTCTCACAGAGAAACAGATCAAGAATTGTCCTGGGAAACAACAATTGGGATCAACTGGATCTGAAAAATATAGCCCCTTTTAGCCATGAATTACTAAGAAGAAAATCAACCATTTACAGAGTGCTTACTGTGTACTAAGTGCACACGCATTATTTAATTACATGTCAGCTCTGGAAGCCATTAGAGAAGAGAGTCCTAATGCCCAAATTTCCCAGATAGGGAAACTGAGACCCTGGAGGGGAAGGAAATTGTCCAAAGATATACAATGAGCTACTGACAAGACATAGACATAGAACTCAGGTATCTATATTCCCAAAGCACTTTAAACAGCACCAAGATGAAGAATAAAAATAAGAGAAATAATTTAATGATAGTTAAGCCAGATATAAGGGTTAAATTTTTGAAGAAGTTATCAGTGGACCTTTCTTTTGGGTACCTTTCTATAAAAGGGCTAGAAGCCTGAGGAATCGAACCCCTCAAAAATCTCTTCGGGCCCTGCCCCCTGAAGAAATGCTTCCTTAGTACTTCTATATCATCTACAGGGCAGATAGCACAGGACTAGTGTTTTGACTGTCTCAGCACGACTACAAAGTGGCTGGCAGGGAACTTGTGTGCTCAATTTACAGAGGAGAATGGCCCGGCCGGACTCCTCGGAGAAAAAAGTCAGAGGAAAGAGTTAAGCTGAGGCGCTGTCTGCCCTTGGTAGTCCTCCTAGAACTTCAGCTTCTGGGTCTCACCTTTTCAACCGCAGGCTACCTGCTGCTTTTGCGCAGCAGACGCTTCCCCTGGTTGCTAGGGGAACCAAGAGCCGCCGCTCCGTTGCTAAGAGGAAGTCAGACGGTAGACATCCTGGGTGAAAGTTGGGTCACGTGACAAGATTTCTGGGTGGAAGAATACTCCTACCACCAACCAGCAGGAGAAAAAACAAATGTTTCTCCAATCAGCACTTTCTATGGGTGGGGATCTTCCTAGCCCCACCTCTTCTTTCCCTTATTTAAGAAATTGACTGGCCTGTTCTCCAATAATAGTGAAGATTCTAGATTGATCACTATGTAAATAAATCCAAAGACTCAGACTCTCGTTCGGAGGCGGGCCAGGGGCGGTGCCGCTACGCAGGACGAAAATTCCTGTGACCTAGCTCGCTCCTCCTCCCAATCCGACGCCGTGGGGTCAGTGGAGCTCCGCTGAGAGAGGCGTAGGGGCCAATCGGAGGAGGGCTGGGCAGGCGATGCCCAATAGGAACGCGACAGGGGGCGGGGTCAGGGGCCGGGCGTTCAGCGTTCCTGAGGGTGGGGTGGGAGCGAGTGTCAGTCAGGTAGGGAGCGCAACCTGGACAGCTGAGACCCCTGCGGCTGACAGGGTGTCTGGGCCACTGCCGCGTTGTCCGCCCAAGATGGAATTCCTCTTGGGGAACCCGTTCAGCACCCCGGTGGGGCAGTGCCTCGGTAAGGCCGTGCGAAGGGCGGGCGTCTGGGTGGGCGACGGCGGGGCTGGTGAGAACTGCGGGCCTCTGCGAGGCACCGGTGCCACTCCTCCGGCTGGGCATCCTTGTCTTCCGGCCTCTGCCCACGGGCGGGCTGGGCCTGCTCACGACGCCAGTGTCATCCTGCCAGGCGGCGCCCGGAGGCCCAACTTGGACTTGAAGATGCTCCACGCGTCCCTACCTATCAGGGCCCAGCCCTTCCTGACTCCTTAGAGATGGTGCCAGCTGCTGGTCGGCTACCCTAGTGGAAAGATGCCACTGCGTGCACCCTTTCCAGCTCTCTGCCACTGCCGTCAGGATCTAGTTTCTCCAGACCCTTCTCCCTCCATCCTTGTCTCTCCTTTACAGTACCAGCAGCCCTCAGACTGGGCATCCTCCCAGAGAATGCTCTAAGATTTGCTAATTAATTTGCTGATTCTGCAACTCAGCTAGGCTGTAGGAGGGACTGGGATTGGGGGTGGGGTTCCTAAAAGATAATTAACTTTGCATCAGAGGGGGGACGGCGGGGGTGGGGAGGGTGGCCATGGCATGCCTGCACTGACTCCAGGAAAGAAGGAAGGCCATGTTATTTAATGATAAGAGCCTTAGACTGGGAATCAGGAAGCCTGGGTCTTCAGTAGGAGCTTTGCCAGTGACTCTCGCCGTGACCTTGTGCAAGTCACTGCCTTTTCTGGTTTGACGTTTTCCCGTATGTCAACTGAGGTGTTTGGAGGTGAGATATAGTAGGTTCCTTCAAATTCTAAAGTTTTGATATTCCTTGTAGTAGTCTCTGCACATTGACTGTTGCTTTTGTGCTATATTAAATTTGCCAAAGTTGAAATTTTTTGATGGCAGTTTGGAGGACTCTGCAGTACTCGTTAATCCTATAGAGGAGGTCTGGGCACCTGGAAAAGGGCACCAGAGGTGACCAATATCCTGGGTAAGGAAAGAAAGCCCAAGGCTAGTTGAGGGAACACAGAGTGGCCACTGTATGGGATTTTCTCACTAAAAAAGCAACTTGCCTTTTCACCCAAGGCAGGAGCTTGTGCCAAGTGATCAGTTGAGAATGTTGATTAGTTTCTTTTGAAACTGGCTTCCTCCTGGTTGGTGGAAGGACTGGTAAAATGTCTTTTAGAGCAGAGACCTTTGGAGTCCTTATGCGCCTGGGTGTTTTAGGCAGTAGTGATGTGTTTATTTCCTGCTCTACTTAAAAATTTCCAGCTTACTTTTCAGCCTTTAGTGGGGCATGTGAAATTACTGAAGCCTCTCCCATTGGCTAACTGGCATTTGGAAGCCATATTCCTAAAACTCAGTTGGATTTTGAATTCAGCTTTATTGGCGGGAGCC